TTCATTTAAGTTTAACCTTAATTAACACAATTTTATTTCTGTGTTAGGCTTACACTCCATTAAAGTTCAGCTTTTAACTGTAATCAAAATAAAAGATTTGAATAACATAAAGTATTTGTAGAAAAAACTAGTCAGATCTTTTTCATTAGTTGAATATGCTACGAAATGTGGTAAGAACCTCCACAATTGGTTTAAACAACAGAAAGAAGACAACTGAAGCCTTGTCTGGGCTGTAGGCCAAAGGATTTCCTTCCTTCTTCAAAGTTTAGTCCATTTACTGACAATAAACTCTACCTTCATTTGAAGCAACCCTATTTCTTAATACCACATACACATTGTCATCTTTCTTACAAATTCTGCTGTTTATTTTGAGCCAGTTTTTAGACATTTCTCAAATATAACTTAAATTGCCTGTAGTTTCAGGCTGCTACTCCTGATCCCTTCTTAATATTTAAATTAGTCATCATGTTTGCATTGTGACAATGAACACCAGAATAGGTGTCAGAAGATAACTGTAATTCTCTCTTAGGTAACAGGTTAAAATAGATGTCACTAGTGAATTTGAATGGTATTTATACTACTGAAGATAAACATAATTTATAAGTCAACACAGGAATCTTTCTTTCAGATATTAATTTTTAAAGCTTCTCTGTGTTTCCAAAAATCTCAGTTCAAAAGTAGTAAGAGGTCTCAGCATTTTCTCAAAACCCTTGTGACAGATATTGGAGCCCCTGCTAGATAAATAAGAAGCAGACCCTCTTTAGAATAAAAACAATTATGATGGCACAGTAACATTTAGTTGAGAAAAATACAAAATACTTATGTTTGTCACATACTTTTGACTAAACTTCATTTAAATGAAATTTCAGTTATGTGACTTCTGGAACGCAGTTTGACAGCCTACCAAGATGTTTTAAAAACAGTGAAAATGCTTATTTATTATAATGCCCTTGCTTCAAAGAATTTTTTTCTTTTTTTTGGTCCACATTACATTTTTATTTTAAGCTTTAACAGCTTTTAACAGCTGGTATCACAAACAGGCAGGAGAATAAACATATTATTTTACCAAAGTCTAGCATTAGTTTCTAGCTCCAGTAGTTCTGGAAACAACAGCCATCACATAAAGAAAAATTGGTCCTTTACATAAAAAAAAGATAGAAGGTGAGGTTATCCCTTAGAAATCAACAAGAAGTTTTTAATCACTGTGTGAACTAGATTCTGCTGACCATGGCCTCTGCAGAGGCCCACCAAAAGCCTTTAGTGACCTTTAACTCCATTACTTAGGAGATGTCTTTTGAAAAGATTCCAGGCCTCTTCCCTTACATTTGGCTGACTAAACCTTTGGGAGGAGGAACAGGTGAAAAGTGAACTTCTGCTAATCACAAATACTGGCTCTGCATTATGATTCTTTTTTTAAAAAAAATAGGAAATTAAAAAAGACACACCTTTCCCACAACTAAAACCCCTGCACTAAAAAAGAATTATAGAAGGAAAGGTGTCTCAGCTGGTAACGGCTCAGCAGAAACTGAAATACTAAATTATATCTTCCGAGACTAACGTATGCCAAAATGTAAACACATGCATTATACTTGCAGAAAAAATATGACATGGTACAAATTGTGAAAGGCATTTCTGTTTTCATCTTAAGAATGAAACTCAGTACAACCATTACACACTAACATAAGCAATGAAGAATCTGTAATTAAATCTGGAACAATGCGAAACAATTCATACTCACTTTTGCCAGGAGCCTCTCCTCTGATCTGCTGTGTTCTGAATCTCTAGCAAGTATCTTACCTCTTGTACTTGAAAACACTGTAAATACTGAAATGCGAGGTTTTGAGTTTATTGTTTCTCTCTCCTTGCTCTTCAGACTAATTCCACAACCACCCACTAGAAAATGTAGCCTGATTCAACCAACCTCCCCTTTGATAAATACTAGACATCAGGAGACGGAGAGATGGATTCCAATAAAATAGGGATATTTTCAAAATTACAAGTATTTGGCTAAGTAACACAGTAAAATCTACACATTCAGGAAGGGCAGCACTCCCCAACCCTAACTAGCCTAGAATAAGTCCACGCAAACTGTACACTGAATTTTAACTGTTCTTCTAATTAGGTACTCCATAATTTTGGGTGACATGGCTTAGTGTGTAGTGTCCCAGTCTATGGCAGGGGGGTTGGAACTAGATAATTAGGTCCTTTCTAACCCTAACTATTCTATGATTCTATGAATTTGTGTTCATATTTTTTTCTGTGCTTGGAAGTACTTTAACAAGACCAAAGACTACCACCACCAAATAACATAGTGTCACTTTAGAATAGATAGAGAAGTAAATATGAAGATATGTAGCTGACATTTGACACTGTTTGTCCCCAAATGAAATTAATTTATTAGGGGGGGGAAAAAGGAAATTCCTTCCCCTTTCCTTCAAAGTGACTGGTTTTCACTTTTACATTTTTATACCACAATTAAAAGTTAACAAAAGGCTACAAAACACACAGGTGTAACACAGTGCTGTTTACAATGAATTATGTCCTATCAGTAGCTGAAAGAGCTAACACAGTATCTGTACCTCTAAGAAACGATAAATGCTTCACCATGAAATGGCAGATAGCTAGCTTGCTTTTCCCTCCGTCTGGGCAGCCCTGCTTGTCTCTGACTTATTCATTATTGCTTTTTGTCAGGTGATGTACTGCTATGGCTCAAGCGTACTCTGTCTCCTCCCATCCAGTATTAATATCAGAATGCCATCTCACACTTGCCGTCAACTGTTGAACCCATGCTTCCCGTCACAAACCTACCTCCACTATTTTGACATAATTTACTATTTCCTTGCACTGAAGAGAGACACACGGTCATTAAACATCACAACTGCTGAGAGTGCGTAAGCACCCTGTAGCACTACTATTAGCATAACCCATGGAAATGTGTAAGCATTTTGTAACTCAGCTAAACAGGCACACACAACTCCAAAATCTGGATGCAGAGAAGGACTCTTCATCAAGGACAGCAGTGATATGATAAGGCGTAATGGGTTTAAATGTAAACAGGTGAAGTTCAGGTTAGATATAAGGAAGTTCTCTATTGTAAGGATGGTGAGGCACTGGCACAGGTTGCCCAAAGAAGTGGTAAATGCTCCATCCCTGGCAGTGTTCAAGGCCAGGTTGGACAGAGCCTTCTGCGACATGGTCTAGTGTGAGGTGTCCCTGCCCATGGTGGAAGAGTTAGAAATGGATGATCTTAAGGTCTTCTCCATCCCAAACCATCCTATGATTCTGTGAGAGGAGCAAACAGAAACTTACAGTATGGTTGCAAACAAGGGGCTCAGAAGAACAAAGAGGAAAATGTGAAAGATTAGGGAACAGTATATAAATAAAGCAGAAAATACATCTCTTGGAACCAGAAGAATCCTGCAGAACAAACAGAAAAGATGACTGGCAAAACCAGAACAAGTCCTGATACTATAAAATAAAATCAATTAAGTTGAAAGCAAATGAGATGCTCCCTTATAAAGAAAAATCCCCAAACAAACAAGAAATAGCAGTGATGCCCAATGCAATTGCTCACCACCAGACTGATACGCAGCCTGACACAAGCACCGATCTGGGCTTTCCAGGTAAATCCCATCATTTTATCTGCTGGGCATGACGTGCTCTGGTACGGAATACCCCTTTGGCTAGTTTGGGTTAGATGCTCTGTCTCTGCTCCCTCTTGGCTTCTTGTGCCCCTCCTCACTGGCAGAGCATGAGACTGAAAAGCTCTTGATCTAGGGTAAATGCTACTGAGCAACAACTAAAACATCGTGTGTTACCAGCATTATTCTCACTCTAGATCCAAAACACAGCACTGCACCAGCTAGTAAATATAAAATTAACTCTATCCCAGACAAAACCTGGACAACAGAAAACGGTAATGTCAATCTAACTTTCTGAAAGTACCAGTACATGCTTCTGTAACTACAGCACTAAGCCCTTCCTTTCTTGCACAGGAGCAGCTCATTGCTGTGTCTTTTATGTCCCTCTGAGATTGTCCTCTGCACACATTTTCAGTTTTCCTTCATCTCAGGGTCTATTTCATGGTGCTTGTCTGTGCTTCACATTCTCCCCTCCAGCCTACATTGGGGTCTGCGGTCTGCACACTCTTCTCACATTAGGCATTTTTATGCTCTTTTACCAGTGTCCTCGCTGTTTTTAACATCACACTTTTCTCTCATGACAGTCCTTATTTTGAGACTCTGAACAATTCTAGGTAACCTCTTTTTCCTCCTGCTCCTTTATCCTTTTTGCTCAGGGAGATGAATCACTCTGGATGCTAATATGCTTCACTCTGCTGCAAAGACAGGCACAGATGAGAGACGGGACTTGCTATACTGGCATGGCTCAACTGTTAGAACGTTGCATGACATGTTTGAAAGGTATGAAGCTACGGCTATGCTAAGCAGCAGCAAAGGCTTTCATGTGTCACTTATTTTCCTTTCAGTTTTCTAATTTCCAAAAATATCCTAAAACTCTACACTGAAAATTGCCCCCAAAATAGATTTTTTTTGCAGTTTCTGCACTGGAAAACAGAAAAGGAAACCACATGGAAATGAGAGCAACCTTCAAACTAGACTGATATCTTACTTCTGCACTAACTTGCATACTCAAAACCTGAAAGTTTACCTATTGACCAAGAGATAAAAAAAAAAAAAGACTTCATATAAGTGATACATTTTATATTCACTAGACACCAAAAGATGCATATAGTTTGAGGCTAATGTATCTCCAGCAATCAAAAATTCAGCTATATGAACATTGCAATAATTTAAGTTTTTAAATAATTTATCTCAAAGCAGCAGAAAAGATCACTGTATAAAAATAAGATGGAAGATGCAAGTCATAAAAATTTGATGTGGATCAGCAATCTTTAAGACTTAAGCTCACTTTCTGCAAAACTATTAATGTTAGAAAATTCCTACCAAAATTCAAGTAATTAGAAAAATGAATTTTATGACCTGTTCCATGAATTCTTAATGCTAAGTTTTATTCCCTCTGAAGTATACTAGCAATCTTCATGAACTCAAAAAAAAAAAAAAAAAAAAAAAAAAAAAAGGTAAAAAGGTAAGGAGTTGTTTAAATCAAACCACACAGGAGAAAATTCAATTCATTCTGATTCACTCCCTTTCTCCCTTTTTCATTTGTCCCTCTAGTCTTTCATTTTCTGCTACACTCCCCCTTTCAAACTTCCCAATGAAAATAAATGCTGGATGGTTTTGTGTTAAGTCAGAAAAATTACCTGTAACTGCATTTTACTGTAGTTGCTGCTTAACATATCCCAACAGTAAATCTAAAATTTAGAATCTATCGTATCAACATAGTCATCATGATCCAAGCTGCAAATAATAGAGAATGTCACTGTCAATTTTGCTTTCTCACACTTCCTTCCCTTCACTTCATCTGATTTTAATAATCCCTGTCAAACCACAAACAGTCCAAATTACTTTCTTGACACAGAAGCTTTCAAGGAAGAGACAGAATCTCAACTTTCATTTAGAACCTACAAAAGCAAGCTGTCCTACTGGACAAATATTATTTCCACTCTTGACAATCTCTACAGTAGAGCATGCTTTTTAATTTTCACTGAAGCTGCCAAGGGTTTGAGATAAGCTTCTTGTTTAGAGCAGACTGACTTCACAGGATTAGCAAACCAAGAACTGTAACTGTGTTTAAAGAGGCCAGGGCTTTCCAGTCAAAGAAAAAAATTACTTACAAAAGGTGACAACTGCATGTCATAAACTAACTGAAATAAGAAAAAGATTATACAAATAATTTCAATTTAGTAGCTTTCACAGGATGTGTTTCAAGATCATTTTACATTTCTGAGATTGACCAAAGGCTTGCAGCTAAGATGCAATATAAATCAGAATTTCAAGGGGGATAACTTTATATTCAACTACATCAGCTGCAGTCTAAGAAAGGTCAGCATTTGACAACAGGAAATATGTTCAAGCTTCCACAGAACAATGTGATCTGTAATCATTTTCCTCTCTGTTGGCTTGTCTTCAAAGCAACCTTGGTAACATAACTCGCTGCTTCACACATACCAATTTAAAAGTAATTGATTTCTCTGATGAGGCACGGTATTGTATAATGAGCATTCTATTTGAAGTTTATGTGGATTAATCAAAGCACAATACATTTTTATAAAAAATATTTTCTTCACAGAGATATACCAGTCTCTCCGATCATCTGAAAGTCTGTTGCTTCTTACTATTTTGACTTATTTAAACTCACAATCAGGTTTTAAAGTGTTACTAGCTATGAAAAAAACACACCAAAATAACCAAGATGTTTCCCATCAGAAGCCTCATGTGAAGTTATTTGTTTAAACATCTCAGATTGCCTGCCCCATGCCCAGGCCTAACTTAAAACTCATCAAAGCTGTTCTAAAAGATTCTTTGGTAACTAGTCTAAATACACCAAAACAATAAAACCCTACCTTTGGGAAATCCATAATTTCACTATGAAATGCTGTGTTTAGATCATGTTTAGAGCCCCACAGCAAGAGAATTACGCTCTCTACTAACAGAGCAGCATTTTAGTGTTCTTTTAACATTTTGGGCTCGCAACTGGTGCTGGTGGCTCCATGATCACTCTTCTCTGTTTGTTTAAGACAGAAACTTCTTACTAATCCACAAGCCATATATAACGTATTTTTTCAACTACTTACTCAGAGGTAGCCTTGATCTTCCCACAGCATTCTCTATTTTGATCCAGTTTTAATCTCACTCATTACTTACGTTATCAGGTGTTTGGCAAAAAAAAACAAACAAACAAACAAACAAAAAAAAAACCCCGAAAAAAAACCAAAATAGAAATGCACAACCAAGTGGCACTTCTAAATGTTTATCCACAATACCTTTCCATTGCTGCTGAAGAAAGAAAGAAAGGAAAATAAAGGAATAGTTATAGTGAAATACAACTTCCATCATCTCAAGGATCTCTTAAATGATACTCCCACTCCTGACTGAAGGTCCTTATCATAGGGCAACTAAGTCCTGTAGCTGTCAGCTCACGAAGGAAACATACTTCATGATGAAGTTCATTTACCTCTATCCTGTTAGGCTGTATATGCCATGGAAATGCCACATGGGTATGATTCAAGAATACTTGTGGAGAACTCTACTGCCTTTCTACCATTTTTTCTGGGAAGATCCTGTGTCAAGAATACTATTTCAAAATATTGAAGCAATAGTGTTACAAAGGAGGGAGACGGAATCATAAAAGAATGCATTCACAGAGGGGAAAAGAAATCTTTCTTTGGAACCAGAAAGGTCATAAATTACTGTGTAAAAAAGAAAGACAATCAGCTGATTTGTGATGAAGAAAGGGGTTCCTCCTCCCTATCATCTTAAACAACTACTGTAAAATTTATATTAAGATCTCTAGTGCAGAAAGCACTTAGCCTTTGTTTTCATGATTAAAAGAGCAAGTGTTCATAAGTATCTTACAAGTGAACACCATGAGCTGCGTTCTTTCTTACGTACTTAAAAGGCTCAAATGAGTTGTGCAACCAGCCAAGAAGTGGAGCTACAGTGTAAAAGAAGTGCACCACTTGTCTATCACATGAAATCAATCATTTGCTTCAGAACAAAACTGGACTGAAAACTGAAGATCAGTTTGTTGTTTTTTTATCTGGAAGTAACACTGTATTTCAAGTTTCTGGATAAAAAGAGAAGGGGACATCATACTAAAAACAAAAGAGTAAAACTTTTTTTCCAGGGTCATGTTAACATTTTAGCACATTTCTTTTTCCATATGTTAATATTATGGCATTTTAAAATTTTTCTAAAGTTAAAAATTAATAAGCCATATAGCATTCAAGCTAGAAACTTGTATTATAATCAAATACTTAAGGTTCAATCCATTTATTTTTTTAACTGTCTAAAACTGAGTATAGTAACAACTCTAGCAGAATATCATTCAGAAGCATGAGCTGTGATCAAATCTATTGTTGGTCAAACCTATTTTTATATAAAAAAATAAGGTTCTGTGGTTTCAACTCTATTCTATTAGCCTGTAAAATAGATCATGCTTGTTGTGACCCAGCCAACAGCATGTGGTCCCAACCCAAGATTCCTTTCAGTGGTACACCACCAGGGAAGAGTGTGCAGGATGTTACAAGCACAAACAAAACATCCAATAAGAAATAAGTTAACTGTATGTACTCTGAATAATGGAGAAAAGAGTTAAGAGACAGAAAAGGGAGGGAGCATTTAACTAAATAACATGTTTTTCCTAGATAAGATGGTAGTAAGTGACATTGCAACATCCTGCTCAATGTTTATCTTTGGAGCTGAACATTATTCAGAAACTTCTAAGGTTGCTCCAAGTAAGAGAATCAAAAGTCTATTGCTTTGCTGGTGTATATCTTGGAATGATACTGAACAAATAAGTTGAGTTTTAATATCAAGACAGACTGGAATGCTTCTTCCACTGTTTTCTTCTATCACAGTGTGCATGAGGGACAAGTTTATTACAGGAAAATAGCAAAGTGTGCTGTACTCCTCACTGGCTTCTAGACTTGCATTACCCTACATAACTCACATGCTCCCAGTTAAAAGGCATATTAAGATTTTAAAAAATTTTATAGTCTACTATTCCTACTTCAAATAATCCACTTCTTCATCTGTACTACTGGTTGATATAGCTCCCTAAACCACTTCTTCCTGGAATGATCACAAGTTTTTATTCAAGTTAGATTTTTGTACTATTATGCACTAACGGCAATGCAATAAAAAGAACAGAGAAAAATTGACTGACTATACTGAGGTAAAGAGATTCAGACAACTTGAGACAGGCACCTTTTCTGACCTTTCTAACCAAAGAGAGTTTACTAGGTTTTTCTGTATATTATAGAACAGACTGTATTCTGCTCCAAATATAATAAATGTTAGGGACTATTGCACTTAAGCAAATGCTGCAAAGTACAATATATATTTAAAAAACAACGCTCTCAGCTTCCACACAGTAACTGTGTAAGTCCTTACTACAAAGAGATAACTTACTGAAACTTATGAAATTATACTAATCCAAAGTTCATACCTATCAATTTCTTAATAGTTAAAACAGCTAGTATTTTTTGTAGCTGCTGCAGAGATAAGAATTCACAAAATGGTTAATCTGAACAAAGCTTATTTAGAAATTTAAAAAAACCTTTTAAACTTAAATGCAGCATTTCTACATTTTCTTCAATCAGTAAGAATTTATATATATTCTCAATTAGTAGCAATTCTTATAAACTTTACAGGTCATCTAACCACCCAGTTAGAACTTTTTAAACATTTTATATTTAATAGCAAGTCAATTTCAGAACATACCAATGTACAATTTACATAAATACATACCTTCAGTCACTATTTTCTTTCTGTAACTGAAATCTTTTTGTTCTCAGTTTTAAGGGCCCATGCGTAATACTCAGTTAACAGTTCATCAGTGGTCCTACCTAAAAAAAACTATTAAAATACCAATAGGGAGTATTTGATGAACTAACACTTTCACAGTTAAAAATCCTAATTGCTTAAGTATTATATAAAATTGCTCACACTCTAGGAGAGTATTATTCTTAATTCCAACTGGTAAATAGTAGCCCAAGTTCAGAATGTTTTTAAGTTTTAGCTTTAGAAGCCTCCATTTCTGTTGAGACTTATACAAACCATGGTGAACACTTCATTTCACTGTTGCAAAGGCAGAGTAGGCATGCATGGGATGGGAAATTAGAAAGCCACAGAGTCTCCCAAAATAGCATATGGCACCTATTAAATGCTTAGCAAGGTCCAAATATCTAAGTATTTTCACTGAGAATAATCTGCTTTGTGGTCCCCCACTTGAAAACAGACAGCGTACAAAAAAGAAGAGGTAGAAGTTTGAGATTAACATCCCACATATAAAGGAGACTTATAAGAAAAAGAGACTTTTTCCTAGGGCCTGTAGTGACAGGACAGGGGCAAGGGTCTTAAAGTGGAAGAGGTATGATTTAGATAAATCTGACGAAGATGTTCTTCCCTGTGAGGGTAGTAA